AGGAGGTCCCTTTCTCTGAAGGGAGGAGAGAACTTCCACTTTGACTATGACCTTGTCTAAATAAGGTCGGAGTTGTCGAACTCAAGAGGCTTCCATAGCCTTGGCAGCTCATGACAAGAGCCTTGGGTGATTACTGATGTCATAAATAAGAGTGTCAATTGTTAAATCAACAACAGGAGTCACTGTGCACTTACTCCCCATGTAGGATCTCTGTCCTTAATGTGTTGTACTATGTAAATTAACGGTATAACTAGTACTTAAACAGTACTTTATACTTTGTGTGTCTGTGTGAGTGCAAACTGTTGAAATCTTTACTTAGTATATACTAAACTGATCTTCTGTATATAAAGATAATTTAAAATGAAAAAAAAAAAGAAAAACAATCTTAATTCATTATATCTTATGAAATAATATTATGATCCATAATAGACCTGTGTAAATAATACCTCCTGCAATGATAATAACATGTACTACCATCCCTAACTCCCATAAGTGCAAGTGGCACCCAATACCATACTACTTGCCTCCTAAAATTCGCCTACTAATAATTTGTATAAATGTAAAATTAGGCAATGCTGTGGTTTGGATATTAACTTGGATGTTGAATGTCCCCCAAAGTTCTATTTGGTAAAGGCTTGTTCCCCAGGGTGGCACTCTTGGGAGGTAGTAGAAACTTTAGGAGGTGGGGCCTGGCAAGAGGATCTTAGGCACTGGGGGCATCCCAAGAATGCTGTTAGAAAAGCCTGAATTTGAGCAGAACTTCTCTCTCTCCCTGGCTCACCATGTACGGGATCCTCTGCATGCACTCCACCGTGCACCACTGAGGCCTTTGCCAAGCCTGCGTAATTCTGTTTGGCCTTTCAGCCTCCAAAACTATGAACCAAATAAACTTCTCTTTCCTACATAAGTAGCTTGCCTAAGGTATTTAATTGTAGTAATAAAAAGCTGACTAATACAGGCAGGAACACATACATCAACTTTTACTCCAAGCCAGACCTCAGATTCATCATAACAAAGTAAGCAAATGGGAATTTTCATTCTTATCCTTCAAAAGCATAAGATGAATCCAATCTTAATAGCAAAGCAGGAGGAAGCTGTAATAACAGAACCAGTTAATAATGAAAAGCTACAAATGATTTAGAACAAAGTAATTGAGCAAAAAGCAATTTGGCTAAATAAATTATTTAAAAAGTAAATATTCTCAATGGATTTTATATTAATAACTATATTTTAAATGATGTGCTGATTTTGAAAGTTTTTTCTGAGCCTATTTTGAAAGTTTTTTTGCTGAGATTTAAAGAAGATATTTTACAATCATTTTTAATCAATTTCAGCCTGCTTTGGAATAGCAGCACAAAATTTGAAAATTACCTAAATGTTCAATAAGAAAGGTTTGGCTAAATATATTAAGGATATAGCAGATGGTTAGGAGCTCAAACCTGAGAGAAAAGCAAGGGATCTAAATCCATGTAAGCCTTAAAGCCTCCATCCGTGAAATCAGTATAACAGACTCCACCTCCAGATTCAGTTCATGGAGTAAACTGAGAGGATCACAGAACATGGCCATCAGAGCTACTTCAACATGATATTCACATTCAGTTCATTAAATGCTGAAATAAATAAATTCGATCTGTTTGTTTGTATATGAGGGGCAGCATGTGTAGGGGAGAAAGAACAAGATCTAGAGCTGTCTGAAACTCTGTCAAAGTTGTATGCCACTGATGGTAATAATGACCACACTTCAAAAAGTTCACAGAAATTTGAGTATTATGAAAAAACCATGCATGAGTTTTTTAAAAAATGCACCAAAATAATAAACATATCTGAATTCCATCTTTCCAGAAACTTTTTGAAATCTCTTCCTATATTATAATTATCATCTTCATAAATATTATCCTTGTTGTTAGTATTGATTTTTTAATTAAGGCTATGGAAGCATCCCAGATGGTACGGATCCTCCACGTGCTCTCTAACATCTTCCACCCATGCAATTTTGATGCCGTTTCAGGACAGTCTTTGCATGCAGGAAAGGAGGCTTGATGTGGCATCTAAAACTTAATACCGTATACGCACACATAGGCATCTGCACATACACATACAGATACACAAATTCAATTTCTGGTTAGTAAACTCCAGGGACTCCTCCAAAAGAACACAGACACTAGTTTGTGGGACAACCACTCAACTCTCACAGGTGTTACAATGGCTAAGGATGATGATTATCAACCAAGAACAAAACTGGAAAATATCACTCTGCTTCCATTCTTGGAAACATATACCTATTCATATTACATGTACCCCTATGAAGTTTCAAAGATTCAGTTAAAAGGAAATCGCAGCACTCTCTGTAGCCAGGATGAAATATTTCCACACAAAAGAAACAATCTTAACAGCTTTTCTCTCACAATACTTAAACTTCTCTTGAGCCAAATAAAAATGCCATTGCAGGGAAGCCCCTACAGTTCTACACCACAAGGTACAAGTTACCTGGTTCCTGGGCTTTAGCCCTGTCATCAGAAGCCCCTCTTGCCCAGGATCCTTATCCTTTAACCTTTATGGTGTCTTTATGTGAATGTTAAATGGATAGCTGGACAGGAAAATATATTTCTTTCAGGTGGGCAAAGCCCAACAGGAAAGCAGCTTGCCAGATTTCTACTCCTGCAACTCCTGCCTTCCTGGGACAGGGCCAGATCACTGCTTGACACAGCCCTGTCCTGCCTCCCTTTTCTCCCCATCTCCCACAGAATGAAACCAGAGCCAAAGCATCCTTCCTCCAAGGTCATGGCCTTAATCTGGGGAGTGCACACTGAATAATGACAGGCTATCCATGAAGTCTCCTCCTCAACTTGGCACAGTATGAAGATTTCATGTTGTGTGCAGTCCATTTATGAAGTGATGACTGGACTTTTGAGAATGACTGGAGACCAAATCCAGCCCTAGCAAAGGGTAGTGGGTGCATTAGCAGTGGACACTACTGGCTTCCAAAAGCACATAGGCCTCGGGTATGCTACCCTGGACCAAACCCTTCACATCACCAAGTTTTCTTTGAGCTTTTAAAATATACAAGGCACCGTGAGATGCTTTCCAAACCTAGTTGAATATCAAAACCTTTGGGGAGCTTTTGAAAGATGCAGATCCTTCACAATTTTTCTGCAATTCTAAAGTTATTCTAAACTATATAGTGTATTTATTTTAAAGAATACAGATCCCTTGACTTCATCATCAGAACTAGTTGTTCAGAAGTCCCCCTGATAACTGTAATATGGTCAGAGGGCTCAGAAACCAGAGTTGCAGAGGCTACCAAGATAATTAATATTAAGACTCTCCCTGCTCATATCCATTCCTCTTATAACTAAAGCCCTGCAGTAGTGTCAAACTTCAGAGGCCATCAAATCAATTTCTTGGATCATGACTAGGATAGATTTTAAATAAAATAAGGGAATGTTTTAGGTTTATCATGCATTATAAAATTAACTATTGCTTTATGAATCTTCTGCAGCACATACATGTGTGTATATAGATATACTTACATCTGCATCCATATAAATATTTATACCAATAGAAATGTAGATATAAATATCTGCATATAGATACAGATGCCTATCTGTGATCTTCATCCCAGTGAAAGCATGTATGTTTCATTTTGGGGCAAAGGCTTCAAACATGAAATTAAGTGATCTAAACTGAACACATCCTATTACAACTTTAGTTCCCCAAGAAAAAGGCTTACCATCAACCACAAATTCCCTGCCGTTAAGTCTCAAATTGGCTCCCTCTTGGGCTTAATTTCTCTCGCTTTGAAGGATGGAATTTCCTTGCCTTTTATTTTTAAACAAATGTCATTATTCTCTATCGAACTGCCTTTAAATTAATACATTAAGTTTGAGTTTTAGGGCCCAAACTGGTGGTAGTATTATACTGTGAATGGTGCCTAGTCTTTCTTTTCATTACAGAGGACAAAAAAAAAAAAAGAGAGGAAATAGGTTTGCATAGCAGTCAGAAGGACTTCAGCCATATGTGATGAAAAATTTCCTGGTAGCCAAGACAGTACAAAATACAATGGGTCAATGAGGGGTGTGATGTGAAATCTCCTACTCTGTAAGTCTGTGGAAACAATTCAGATGCTTATCTGTCTGGAATTCTTTAGAGGTAAGCCTGGCTGGCGGGCAGGGAGTGGACTTCCAGGCCATGAAGGCATTGCTGCCCTGCATCCGTGAGACATTCCAGAGAAACACCAAACACATATCTAGAGACCCAGCAGCACAAGCCATGAGCAATCTCACGAGGGCGCCCCTACCGGGGCACCTCTGCCTTTGGCGAGGGCCTCTCGTGCAGGATGACATCCCCACATGCCGCTTAGCACGTCTGGGTGCTGTTCTCACACCACGAGGAGGAGGGAAGACGACGCCTATCAAAGTGAGGAAGTACATGAAATATACGAACAGCACCCAGCCGGGCCGGCAGGTAGAAGAACTCATGCACATTAGCATCCTTATCCCTCACTTATCCCTCACTTGAAAATGTTAGGATCTGAAGTACACGTTTTTCAGTAATGCAAGCTGATGAAGGACACTGCTCGAAGTTATCAGACCATAACCAATAATTCTGGAACCAGAAGTCTTCATTTGTAGGAAACATAATGCAAGTTCTCACTCCAATAGTTAGGCTCTGCTGTTAGTTGGGAATGGGAGAAAACATTAGAAAAAAATTTTCCCCTTACTGTTAACCTAGAGACTTATTCTTCCTTACAATGATAGGACCGTGTTAAGGATATTCCTGTTCTTCTGAAAAGTGGAAAAAGAGGGAAAATAATTTTGTAAAACAGGAGATAGTATATATGTGGTCTGTTAATGAATGGCATCATAAAGAGCTCATTTTAGGATGTTTTTATAACGAATTGTTTAGATAATCTAGTGATCTTACCCTCTTCTTATGCTCAGAAAATGCTGACCCAAATGGATCTTTTGACAATTAAAATGCTTTTGCTGTGTCTCTTGCAGAAATGCGATGCTGGATTCTTCCGAGCTGGGTCAGGGGAATGCTTGCCCTGCGACTGCAACGGCAACTCCAACGAGTGCGCCGACGGCTCTGGAGTCTGCGTGGTACGTCGGGAGCACCCGTCACCCTTCACATACTTCGCGGGTCTTTGCATCTTGGGTGGGATTGGAACTCTCTTCCTGGAGGTTTCAGCTTTGTAGGGGCAAACTGCTGATTCAGCTCGTGCTGCACCTGTCGACTTTTTCTGTAACACACACGCGGTAAAGTACCTTCGGTTCTAAGGGCCACCCAGACGTGTGCATGAAGCGCACGTGCCCTGGAGGTTCTTGCCCCGCCACTCTCGGCAGCTGCTTTCGTGCTGTAGGCTCCTGGCCGTGGGATTGAAACTAATACACAGAGGAGGAAACCATCCGTCCAAATTCCTCAGTAATAGTGTCTTTAGTCATATGTTTGGCTTCCCTCCACGTAAACCAGAACAAAGCAGGTGTTCGCAGCCTATTTTAGAACACAAGGTAATCAGGTCTCTAGGTCAAAATTAGCTTAAAAGAAAATTTTAAATTTGAACCAAACAACCAATGAACGTGAAAGCTTTGGCCCTGTGGTCTTTGTAATTCTGTGTTGAAGCCCACAAGAGAGTTTTATTCTTTAACTGGAGTGAATTCCCCAATAGCGTGTTCTTCAGTGAAACACGGCACTGAGGAAGGAGACTGAGAAGTCTTCGAGTAGGAAAGTGCTGGCTCCATGGTTTCCATTTTCCCTGACTGTGGTGACAACCACGTGGAAATGGGTATTGGAGTACTTACCAGCGGTGCCTTTGCTAGAAACCACAGGGAATGCTTTCAAGGATTTCTATCCTAATCTCATGTCCTCCTTCAAGAGCTATTTGAAACAGAAGAAAAATTTAATTCTTCAAGTTCCTTGTCTAGCAAAAGAGGCTTTCCAGAACCACCAGAGTAGTTTTGCATAAACTACAAGGAAACTTAGTGAAATGCACTCAAAATTAGCATTAGTTCCCCTATCAAACAGATTATTTTGATAAGTAGCCTCTGAGGCTTGTGCATGAAGGTGCTTTTATTTTACACATTATGTTGAGATGACAATTAGAACATTTTTATTTATCTTAACTCTAAAAGGCTCCATTTTTCTGGGGACAGAGAATTAAATGGCAAAACGTTAAACCCTGCTATCTCTTTATAGTCTTTGTATACTCCTGTTATTTCTATTTTCCCTTCCCCCATCCTCTTAAATAACCATAACATCCAGGATGTCCTTTGTGGCCGTGTAGGCAAATGCAGCTGCCAAAGTCTACCCCCTTTCTAATGCTTCCATCTCCGGTTTCCTGTTATTTTAATCCCTGTGACATTTCAGGGGGAAAATCCCATGGATACACTTGAAGTGATAATGTACATCTCTGATAATATGGCCAATTAAAGACCCTTTGTTATCTGCTTTTTTAAAAATATAAGACAGTAAGGACTGCGGAGCCCATCGGCTGCTGTTAATAAGGTCAGTCCATAAGAGAGAGAAGACTGAAATAAAGAAGACAAATGTCCCTCCTGCCAGCACCCACAGAGCACTGACTACGCCACTCCTCTTTACAACCACATTGTTATAATGAGAACACTCCTGGCTTTATCTCTCAGAAGTCGTGAACTGCTGAGAGGGACGGTCTTTGACCAATTCTGTCTCAATCACAGGGGTAGACCAGCTTCTATAAATGTTTGGGATGGGCGAGGGTGGAACATTTGCATGCACACTCAGAGAAGTTGCCAATCTTCCTGCAACTTCTTTGTTCTGAGACAGAAAATTAAAACTAAAAGAAATAGCCATTCTACTATTCTTACTGGTGGTTCCCCCATCATATCCTATGCAGAGGGAAATATCCTTTTCCCCCTCATTTAAATAATATATGTTCAGCATAAGCAAATAAAGCAAACAAGAACCAATATAGAATAATATGATGTCTAAAATACAAAGTAAAAGAATCAACCACAATCCTATCCCCGAGAACTATACATATAGATATACTTGTATTTTTATAAATTTAATTTTAAAATAAAAAAGGACATACTTTGTATTTAATTAAATGTAAATGAAGGAATTAAGAAGGCTACTTTGTCACCTAGTTGGCACAGATAGTAACTATATGGTATCACCTTACTAAGTAAATGAATGCATTGATTACCAAAATAAGCCAACCCAATGCTAGGCCCTTTAATTTGGTAATTCATAAGGTTGTTGGGTCACTCCCTAGTCTACTCATGGAGCAGACCTGTCCCGGCTCATTCTCATTCATCAGAGAGCCCCAGAAACAGAGGCTCCAACATGATCACTTCTTTGTAGCTTGCTGTGGTCATCAGTGTCGGAATACTTCACATCCAAAGTCTACGGCTGTATAGCTCACTGGAGTCACCTACTGCTTTGTACTCATCAGCATGAGAATGTAAGAGGAACTGAATGCCACTGTCCACTCTTCCTTCCTCTCCCAACTGGCACTCATTCCTCTAATATTCCCCACTTCAGTTAATGACAACTGCCTCTTTTATTTATTTATTTATTTTTTTAGATTTATTTATTTATTTGAAAGGCAGAGTTACAGAGAGGCAGAGGCAGGGGCGGGGGGAGATCCATCCACTGGTTCACTCCCTAGATGGCCTCAACGGGCCGGAGCTGCGCAAATCTGAAGGCAGGAGCCAGGAGTTTCTTCTAGGTCTCCCACATGGGTCATCTTCCACTGCTTTCCCAGGCCATAGCAGAGAGCTAGATCGGAAGAGGAGCAGCCAAGACTCGAACCAGAGCCCACATGGGATGCCAGCACTGCAGGCGGTGGCTTTACCCACTACTCCACAGTGCCAGCCCCACAACACCTTCTTGTGGCTCCCTCCTGCTTACAGGCCAGAGATGCTGCATCAACCTCTTTTCTTCTTCTTCAACATTCAGTTGGACACTGAGTCCTGTCAATGCAATCTGCAATAGAGCTTCCTCTCGCTACACCCTGCTCTTCCTTAATTCACAACCCCAGCCTCCCCCGACTGTTCCCCTGGCTCCATCATCCCTACTGCAGACTCTCCTTCCTCTCATCTGTTCCCTGCCTGATGGTGGCAATGTCTTTCAAAAACAGCCTACTGAAGGCAACCTTCTTGCTGACATCCTGCGGGAGTTTCTGCTTCAGGTGCACTGAGCACACAGCCTCCCGGATTCGGTCTCTCTGTCACACTCTGTGTCTGAAGCTACTCCCTTAGACTCCACCCAGGATTTCTGGAAGTCTGACTTCAAGGCCTCTGTCCAGTGCCATCACCTTCATTAAGCCTTCTCCCACTTTCTCAGGAAGACACTGATGCTTCCTGTCCCTGTGTTCAGTAGTAAAACATACCTTATATGTACCTCAATCATAGCCTTGAGCACACGATGGTACTCTTTATTTACCACTCTGTTTCCTTCATGGGGCCATGGGGTATTCCAAGGCAAGAACTAGGTGTTCCTCAATCTAATAATAGTCACAAGCTCATTGTCTATCAGGATATCAACACACTCTAGGTTTGTTAAGTGAATGAATGCATTGGTTAGTAAAATAAGCTAACATAAATAGAAGGCCCTTTAATTTGATAATCTCTGAGATTCTTGGGTCACTCCTTTATTCAGGAAGATGTGCTATGTTATGCTAGAGAATCAGCCTCCAGCCTCACCCTGAGTAACTAATAAACACTGCTGCCCATACTAGATGTTTCTCTCCAAACCCTTGCTTCTCAGGTTGTAGTCTACACCAGCAGTGCTGGTAATATTGGCAGCTTGTTAGAAATGCAGACTGTAAGGCCCCATCCCAGATGCCGTGATCAGAAATCTGCATTTTCATCAGATCCCCAAGTACATTCATGTGCACATTGAAGTTCAAGAAGTACTGACTGAGGCAAGAGCAATTCTCAAACTTTGTGGTCTCATAAGCCCTTTACACACTTGTGAATTACTGACACTACCAAAGAGTTGTGTTTACATAGACTATATCTATGTGTATTTATTGCACTTGAAATTCAAACTGAAACATTTGTTATATTACTTCTTCATCAATTCACTTGAAAATAGAAATAATAAACTTGTTGCATGTTAGCAGAAGTATTTTTTATACAACATGCACATATTTTACAAATTAAAGACACATTTAATGTCTGGCTTTGTAGAAGACAACTAGATTCTCCCATCTGCTTCTTCACCAATCTGTGATTGTGTCTTGTGTCATGGAATCTTTAGGAAAAAAAATCACCTTATATTACATGAGAAAGCAAGATCATAAAATGTAAATACAATTTTAGTATTATTTTGAAAATAGTTTTAACCTCCCTGGACACTTTGCAACTCATGGATGTATTCTTGCTTAAAGTACACTGACACCCGACACAAGGCTAGCTTGATCCTTCCAGGCCTTCCTCCTGTAGTCTACTGTTCCTGTGACCAAGTGGATGAAATACATGTTTCTCGTGGGGAAGAGACACAACAGGTGCCCAAATGTCATTCTTAACACGTACCTGCAGTCATGTCTAGATGTAGCTGTCTTAACCACCAGATAAAGATTAAAAATGCTTACTCCATTTTAAATGGGGTCAATTTTTTTTAATAAACTAAATTTTCCCCTCAAACAATATTTGTTTAGTGTTGTCAGTTTTGGCTTTCTGTGTTTTAAGTGGCAGAGCATTGAAGATAAAGGGGAATTCTGCATTCTCAGAACAAAAGATTTTCAGAGGGAGGAGACCTGATGAGAGGTCCAGTCTAAATCTTCATTTTACAGATAAGGGGACAGAGACTCTGGAAAACAGAAGCCCTAGGGACCTTTTCTCCCTGCTGCCAGCACTCCTCTGCCGATCTCCCAAACTGTGCATCAATGCCTTTTAAGGAACTTCATAGGAAACCCTTTAAATGAAGGCAGATAAAGAAAGTCAATATTTGTACTCTGAGTATTTAGGGGTCAGGAAGGATTTGGCTTTTGACGGTAGCTGCTTCCTGTGGCTGCCATGGCGGAACTAAAGCCCTGAAGAATGAAGAATCCAAAGCATCCTACAAGTCATAAATGGACAGAGTTAATTAGCTATTTTTTTCAGCTTTATATTCACTTTATATTTAACACAAAGAGTGGTCTAAGAACATACAATGAGCCTGTTTTCTTCTGCACAGATGGGCTTCATCTGTCTAACCTCAGACAAATTTGACTCCAGTCCATGAGCAGCCCTGCCAGATTGCTTATAACTTAGGTTTGAACCATAAGGTCGTTGAGTAAGGCTCATTGGTTTTCCCTGTTGAGAAATTGCCACCAATTTTGAGTTAGCTTGAAGTGCATTTCATTTCCTTTATGAGTGCTTGCTCTAGACACCAATTTATTAATTTGCCATTTCCTTCACTATTTTCCCAGCAAACATTTCTTGAAGGTTGACTTAGAGCAAGACCTAGTATTAAAAATTGTGAAGGAAATATGTTAGCATTCTGCTCTCTGCATATCATACTTTATTGTGCAATTTCTCATTGATCCGTCAGGCAATATCAACTAATCCACAAATTTTATTCTGCTAAATTTGTAATTCTAATCAAGGGCCAAAGATTGTCCACAACTAATGGCTCATCAGATACCTGAAGAGTGTTCATCCACATTAGGATTACCCACATTGTTGTCCCACATTTAGATTCTGCCTTGTTAACTAATGTGCTATGCTTCATTTGAAGCTCAAACTATTGGTAAAATAACCTGATAGCTTTAAATGCAGTCACTTGATACCTGTTTGGAAAAAGTGCCTTTTCTCTAACAATATTAGAGAAGTAGTATAATATGGAAGTTAACAATTATTCCTCTGGAGCCAGATTGCCTGAATTTGAATCTCAAATTTGCTGACTACTTGTGTGGCATTGGGAAATTTGCTTGACCACTCTATGCCTCCCTCTTTTCATATGGAAAATGGGCAAAAAATGGAAACCTACCTTAGGATTTTGGTGAGAGTTTAATTAATTCATCTATGTGAAATGCTTGGAGAAAGACTTAGCTATTATTTTGTTCTGAGCCTCAGAGTAAGACAAGAATAAAGAGCTCAGAGTTCAGTCCCCGGTTGTTGCCTTCACCAAGGCACAGAGTACTGTTGGGAAAAGTTGTTGTTGAAACTCTGCTACCTCCATATTACTAAGGTACCTGCTCAAACAAGAGGGTACCTCTTTAATGGAATTTTAATTTGTACAGTACAGATTTTCACGGAAAACATAATTTGAAATTTTTATAATCTATTGAATGTAAAGATGAAAATACCATAGTGCTAATGGTGTTGCCTTGTACCACCGAATACAATCTGATAGGAGAAAGCTATCTGTGTATTAGCATGACTACCTTAAAAGAGGTAGTGCTCCACTTCTGATCCAGCTCCCTGCTAATGCACTTGGGAAAGCTGCAGAAGATGGCCCAACTGCTTGAGCCCCTGCACCCATGTGGGAAACCCTGAAGAATCTCCTGGCTTCTGGCTTCGGATCAGCCCAGCTCTGACCATTGCAGCCATTTGTGGAGAGAACCAGCAGATGGGAAATCTCTCTCTGTCTCTCCCTCTCTCTCTGTAACTCTGCCTTTCAAATAAATAAATATATCTTTAAAACAATAACTGAAATGAGTAACTAGTTAGTAATCCTTTCAGCACACAAACTCTGAGAGTATCAGGCTGCTAGTATAGATACAAAAGACTAGAAAAGGGGCGGCTGCTATGCCTACCAGTTAAGATATCATTTGGGACACCTGTGTTCCATATCGGAGTGTCCGGGTTCATGTCCCCAGCTCTGTACCCAAATCCCACTTCCTACAAATGCACCCTGAGAGGCAGCAGGGAACAGCTCAAGTACTTGGGTCCCTTCACCTACATTAGAAATCCATATTGAGTTCCAGGATCACAGTTTCAACCTGGCTCAGCTCCAGCTATTGTGGGCATTTGGGAATTGAACCAGCAGAAAGGAGTTCTCTGTTATCCATCCCCCTCCCCCACCTTTGAAACAAATGAAATAAATAAATATATTTTTCCAAAAGAAGTTCAGGTTGAATCCATCCACCACTTGTCCATGTTCTTAGCTTGCCTGGCATCAACAGAACTCCTTTGTGCTGGCCAGTACAGCCATGTATCATCTATTCTGTCAGGCCTGATGTCCCCTTTGCCTGAAGTGTTGCTTGATTCCTAGATTTTCTATCTGTAAAATTTCTTTGCATCCTTGTCAGTTTTCCTATCTTTTGTCTCACAGCACTGCCTGAGGAACACAACAGGAGAACATTGTGAAAAATGTCTAGATGGTTACATCAGCGATTCCATCAGGGGACCACCTCAGTTCTGCCAGCCATGTCCCTGTCCCCTTCCTCACTTGGCCAAGTAAGTCCTAAAAGAAGACGATGTTCTTCTAATGTTTATCCCCCTGTGATGTCCTAGCCAGGATTCTGAGGTTTATCCACAGTAAGATTGAATACCTCATACTGGAGCGAGACTGGAAAGATGAAGGAAAGGTTTCTAAATAAGCTTTTGGGGAACCATGAGCATTTGCAGTATAAGTGATAAGTCTATTCACAGAATATTGAAATGCATCATAGTATCAATGAATTCTCCCAAGTTTTATAAGCAAAGCTACTTCATCTTTTCCTGGCTATCCTTTGACCTAAAGAAATCACTACTGGTGATGCCAACAGAGTCATTATAATGAAATATTTGCAACAGTATTGGTTCTCCTTGCCTTTCACAGAATAGTCATTTCCATACAAGTGGCAGGAAAATATGTTTTCTAATCAGAATTAAAGCACAAACAGATGCATACTTTAGGAAAATCAACTCATAGAATTTTTCTGAGAAAACTAATTCTTGCTTCTGGCTCTTTTGACCCGGTTGAGAACTTAAACAGAACAGGTATACCACTTAATAGAATTCTTTTCAGACATATAGTATCTTGTCAAGTCATGAGTGGCCATTTTATTGACTTAAAAATGACAATATGCAGAATTTAAATTGTATAGTGGCATTTGGTTTTTCAAATATCAACCGATTTTCTGACATGAATAGCTGACCTACAATCAATTCAATCCTAGCACTAAGTTCCCAGGGTCAATGCAGACCGCACAAGGTTAGGGGTTCAGTTGCATCAGACTTTCTTCACTTCAGGTGCCCTGGGATTCACAGGCTACCCAAACTTCTGCCCAGAAAACTACAAAGTTGTAGATTCCCTTTTAACCCATCCCTAGGGTTCAAGTTCCCTAGAATGACTCACAGAACTAAGAAGTTGCTATTCTTATGATTATAGATTTATTATAATGCATACAATCCAGAAAGAGCCAAACAGAAGCAATGCGCAGAGCAAAACAAGGAGGTGTGGGGATGGGGAGAGGGTGCAGAGCTCTCGTTCCTTGCAGGAGCACCACTCTCGCAAATCATCTGTGCCTAAACAACTCAGAAGTCCCAGACTGTGTTGTTCAAGAGGTTTTTTGTTTGTTTGCTTGTTTGTTTGTTTGTTTGTTTTATGCATTTACTTGAGAGGCAAAGAGACAGAGTGATCTTCTATCTGCAGATTCACTCCTGAAATGCCTGCAAAAACCCGGTTTGGAGGCTGGGAAAGGCCAAAGCTAGGAGCCAGGAATTCAATCCAAGTCTCCCACACAGTGGCAAGAATCCAAGTACTTGAGACATCACTTGCTCCTCATAAAGTGAAGATTAGCAGGAAGCTGGATTGAAGGCAGAATTGGAACTCAAACCAGGTCCCACATTGGAATCCCAACCAGTGTCTTAACTGCTATGCTAAACATTGGTCTCTGGGGTTCTAGAATTTTTACTCTCTGGTGCAGTGAGTTAAGCTGCCAAGTGCAGTGTCAGCATCCCATGTGGGTGCTGGTTTGAGTCCCAATTGCTCCACTTTCTATCCAACTCACTGCTAATTTTCTGGGAAAATAGCAGAGGATGTCCCAAGTACTTGGGCCCCTGCACCCGCGTGGGAGACACAGGAGATGCTCCTGGCTCCTGGCTTTCCATATGGCCTAGCCCCAGCTATCGCAGCCATTTGGGGAGTGAACTAGTAGATGGAAGATCTCTCTCTTTCTCTGTGTGTGTGTGTGTGTGTGTGTCCCTCCTCTTTCTCTCTGTAACTCTGACTTTCAAATATATAAATAAATCTTTTCTAAAAAATGAAGACTCCTTCCATTGGCGTGATTTCTTAAGTCCTTGGTCAGTTTGGTCACTGGCGACTGAACTCAATCTCTAGTTCCTCTCCCCTGCCTGGAGGTTGGGAGGGTGATGTTGAAAGTTCCAACCTTCTAATCACATTGTCAGGCCCTCTGGGACCAGCTTCCATTCTGAAGCTATCTGGGGGTCCATCTCCAACATCACCTCATTAGCATCAACTCAGGGATGATCAGAAGAAGCTTATTACAAACAACAGAAGGCAGCCTTATCACTTGGGAAATTGCAAGGGTGACAGAAGCCCTGTGCTAAGAACCAGGGACAAAGAGCAGATACAAGTAAGCACACCACAGGTGGAAAGAGGAAGCAACCTAGGTTCGTATTGCTATTTGGACAATTGCTATTTTGATCCTGGTCAGGTTCCTCTCTCCCTCTGCCTCACTTTCCATGGGGTGTGAGGTTAAGGAGATGAGGGTCAGATTTTAGCTCTGTATCTTGATTCCTGTACCTGCTTTGGATCTCAGTGCTTTCCTTGGTAATCCAATCTGGGTGTAGGGATCTCTGTCAGTGCCTTGTATGTGGAAGGTGTAGCAGATGTTGGCTTTGCTGAACACATAACATTGTATTTTTTCTAATACTTGTATTTCATCTTTTCCAGGCACTGTTTCAAGTGTTTGGCTGTAATATCTATGTTAACTGACAGCTAATATAAGGATCACATTAAGTAAGGCACGTAAAGTGACTTTTTAAAAGCCTGACTCTCTATCACACACATCTGTACTCACATACTCACTTGTAAAAGAGGAGGTGACAACCAGATGTCCCCCTAATTTTTTCCTATCTTTTAAACCAATATTAACTAACATTTCCCCTAATGGCTGTGAGATGTTCAGATCCTGTGACCATTTTGACAACAAAGAACTCAGGCGTTTCACAGCCCTCTGTTCCTTTAGAAACCATTAAGCTGCCTCAGAACTTGCTGGGTGATTTTTCATGTCTGATAGTATTAATAATGTGTGCAAAATGGATGGCACTGATGGCAAGAGCAGAAAATGCAAATTAAATGTTCTGTTATTTTCACTCAAGGCTGCTCTGATTTATGGGCTCCCTTTGCCTCATCTAGGTATAATCTTTAATTGTCCGTTAATATTCTGCTCTTAAACATTAACTGCATCTGATGAGATGTTTAGCATCTCTGCTTTTGCCATGGTATGAATATTTTGTTAAATATATCTACCCCCAACTTCCTATTATAAAGGGTCTCACTCATTCTCCCATTACAAACCAGAAACTTGCCACTGGGAGAGTCTCCTGTCCTGGGAGAGGAAACAGGTTCAAATGCTCCCAGGACACCATTTCAGGGCCAGTGTTGTGGCTCTGCAGGTTAAGCTGTCACATGGGACTCCCTCATCTTGTATCAGAAGGCAGGTTCAAGTCCTGGCTCCTCCACTTCCAATTTAGTTTCCTGCTATCACGTGTGGGAAGGCAGCAGGTGATAGGTGAAGTCCTCAGGCTCCTGTCAATCATCTGGGAGACACGGATGGAGTTCCAGACCCCTAGCTTTGGCCTGGCTCAACCCTGTTGTGGGCTTTTGAGAAGTGAACTAATGGATGGAAGATTCTTTCTCTCTCTCTCTCTCTCTCTCTGTCACTTTGCCTTTCAAATGAATAAATACATGTTTAGGGGGGAAAAGTATCAACATCGCTATCTGTGGTTGTGTGTGTGTGTGAGAGAGAGAGGGAGGGAGGGAGGGAGAGAGAGAGAGAGAGAGGAGATCCAGAGTTCAAAGCAGCAGTTGAGGGACTTGGGAATGTGCTCCAAAGGTGGGCACATCATGGTAGATATGGAAACTGAAGTCTCTATAACACAGGTTCCAGGTTTTAAAATGTGCTGAAAATTAAAACAAAGACACAAATATGCCATGTCTAAGGAAACATTGGGTGGAAATAGGGAGAAATTGGGAACGGTTTGAGAGACCTTCTCTTGAGATTTTACAGATTTTTCTCTGCAATAGCAAAAGCTGTACTTCCTCAGTCTCTAGGGTTAAAATCTGTGGTCATTGGACTGAATAAATTTGCTTAAATCCTAGGAAGTGCTAACCTTTGATCTGGCCTGTTATTAAGTTGACAAATCCTAAATACTAGTCTGATATCTTATCAAAATTCAAATGCCCCATTGCCTCTTTCAGCTTCTTTCTAATACTCATATTACTTGCTTTCTATAAAAATGAAGTGACAGGACTTTTCAGAAGGACTCCTAGTATGGGATGGATATGGTGTGGCACAGATGTTAAGATGCCATGGAGTGCCAGGGTTCAAGTCCCTGCCCTGCTTCCCCTCCAGTGCCCTGCTGGTACACACCCTGGGATATAGTAGGTGATGGTTCAGTGGTTAGGATCCTGTCACCCAAGTAGGAGACCCGGATGGAGATCTATACTCCTGGCTTCAGCCTGTCTATCCCTGACTTTTGTGGGCAACTGGGGAGTGAACCAGAACATAGAAAATCCATGTGTGTTTGTGTTTTGCTCTGCCTTTAAAAGCAATCGCTAAATTAAAGAAAGACACCCAGCATGGAATCAGAATTAGACCTGAAAAGTCCATGAATTGAGGCCACAGACCCAGAATTTGGATTTCCAGTTCCAGTAGCCACATCAGTAAGCAAGGAAATAATGCTTGAAGGAATAAAGCAAGCTAAGGGTGGAACCTATTTTTCTTTATGTTCCCTAAGGGTTTTCCAAGTGCAAAACACATCCCTCAATTTGAAGGGGGCACCACAGTGGTTGGAGTGGGCTGAGAAAGGTGCAGAGTTTCAATTTTCCTAGTCAAAAATAGATAAGCCAAGAAAACATTAACAGTTAATGCCGATGACGAACAAAAATGAAACCTCAATGGCCGCTGTAGCGACCAATGGCTGTTTAGTTTCCCCAAGATCTGTAAGCATTAAGTTCATTTACTTATATTGAGGTTGGCCAGACAACCTCCATGTCTCCCTGTAGCTATGCCAAGTGCTCCAGTTAAGGAAAATGTCTTCTCCTTGAAACAGTAGGGCATCAGCTAAAGGCAGACAATGGCTGACGTCCCCAGAAGATATGCCAACCCTCAAGGTGTGGGCAGGCTGCAGGCTGGGATACCTCCAGCCAAAATGCATGGGAAGGGGTTAGCTCACGCTTCATGCACTTCCCCTGACAGTGTTTCTCTAAGCAGGCTGAGGAGGGAGATGTAAAATAAAGAGCCAGATGAATGCAATTTCACTGGAGTGTTTTTACCATACTGTTAGAGAAAATAAATTGTGGTTATTGCCTTTCACTGGGAAGCACATATTGTTTTCTGACTGATTTTATAAACATCTGCAGACAAAGCAAACACATCCATTTGCATTCCTCCAAAGAACATTAGGGTAAAATTGCTGATACACGCAGGAACGTGAGAGCGGCAGGTCACACTCCATTGATTATAGAGTACCTGAGCCAAAGCTAATTTCAAAGTCTTTAAAATATCTTGCTCTCTCTCCTCTCCCTCTGTCTCTCTGTCACACACACACACACACACACACACTCACACTCACACTCACACTATTTTTTCTTTCCTGTGTTCTAATTGTATTATCATTAAAAAGAAAAAGAAAAAGAAGGAAAGGAAAGGGCGCGACCCCATGGACTTTCACTGACTGAGCCTTGCTTTGTGACTTTGAACAACTCCAAACAGCCCCTGCACCCTTATCCCCAACCTTTAAGGCGTACCTGGAAGAAATCAAGGTTCTGTTGAGGTTATGCAGTATGGCTTAAGACAGATTCCTGACCTTTAAAAGAAGAGAGTATATTGGGAAAATATGGGAAAGTTTTTTTAAGATTTATTTATTTGAGAGTCATAGTTACCCAGAGAAAGCAAAGAGACACACAGAGATAAAAAGATCTTCCACCTACTGGTTCACTCCCCAGATGGCTGCAACGGCTTGGCCTAAGCCAGGCCGAAGCTAGGATACAGGAGCTTCATCCGGGTCTCCCACGTGGGTGTAGGGGCTGAAGCACTTGGCCCATCTTCAGCTGCTTTCCCAGGTGCATTAACAGAGAGCTGGATTGGAAGTGAAGCAGACAGGACTCGAACCAGCACCCATATGGGATGCCGACATTGCAGGAAGTTGCTTTACCCACTACGCCACAACTCTGGCCACAGAGAAATTTTCAAACATAGAAATAATAATCAGGAAATTCACATATAAATCTAAAATTGCAGGTTGCTTTTGTTTATTTTATTTCTGACTTTGGAATTTGTATTTTAGACTTGTATGAGAAATACTACACATATTTGTATATATTCTGATATGCCACAAATTCCCACTGCTTCAAACAAAAATAATGGAGCCCCTCTGGGGAGAAACAAGCTAGAAGGAGCTGGGAAATGGCCCTGCTCATTTCTGTCTGGGCCTGCTGGTCCAAGCTTTCTGGTAAGGGAAGGATTGAATCGAAATGTAGAGGGAAAATGATCACAGCTGTTGGAACTTAAAGGTCATCTAGGTAGTGATGATCTGAGCAACAGTTAAGCCAGTCTCTTCAGCAATATGTGCAGCTGGCTTCTAACATTCACCTACAATTGCAGTTTTGCAGAATCCTGCTACAGGAAAAACGGAGCTGTTCGGTGTATCTGTCACGAAAACTACGCTGGACCTAACTGTGAAAGGTAGGCTGATAAAATCCTCTATTTTCCAGGTGTATCAAAGGAAGCTTTCTGTCTCTCACACACATCAGCTCTGCCTTGTTCCTATTCTTTTTTTTTTTTTTTTTTGACAGGCAGAGTGGACAGTGAGAGAGAGAGACAGAGAGAAAGGGCTTCCTCTTTTTCCATTGGTTCACCCCTCAATGGCTGCTGCAGCTGGCACACTGTGGCCAGCGCACTGCACTGATCCGAAGCCAGGAGCCAGGTGCTTCTCCTGGTCTCCCATGCAGGTGCAGGGCCCAAGGACTTGCACCATCCTCCACTGCACTCCCGGGCCAAAGCAGAGAGCTGGCCTGGAAGAGGGGCAACCGGGACAGAATCCGGCACCCCGACTGGGACTAGAACCAGGTGTGCCGGCGCCGCAGGCGTGCCTTGTTCCTAGTCAGTGGGTCCTGAAGTAGATGTTTAAGAGGAGGCACTGGGGGGCCACATTTCAGAGCCCCTTGGGGGAACCTTCTCCAAACATGCCCCAGACATTGCTGTAGCATTGTTCTCCCTAGGGATCCTGGCTATCCTCACATTCAGGATAAATGAGGCAGGAAAGGAAAATGGGAGTATGTATATGTGTATTTTGTGAAAATTTGCTAGAAATTTTTGGCAACACTCCTCTCTCTCCATTGTTGAAAACCAGTACTACAGTTAATGATCTGGAAAAAAGAGTGCAGCTTCCTGGGTAAACAAAAAGGAAACTCTCAACCACTGGTAGAGCAATAAATTGAAAAAAGCACTAATTTATTATTTAGCCCATTCTCACCTCCATCTCCTGAAAAGCAGAGTCCACCAGGGGGAGGACGTTCTGAATCCCTCTTTGGTATTTACACAGGCCTCTTTTCGAAATTGCTCTGGGCTTTGCTCACGCAAGACAGGCTTGGCCAATTCAGGAAGTTTCCCATTCACCCCACCTGCTAGCTGCTCAGTTTTCTAAAATGGCTCTCCCTGAAGGAGACTCACAAACCGATCTTCCTACTTCTAACAGAGATGCCTGTGACGGTGGCCTCATCGTTGTGTTTAAGCAGAAGGGAGCATGAAGACAGGGAGGGAAGAAGGGTGAGGAGGCGCTTGTCAGCACCTACCCACACAGCTGCTGGTGGCCTCCTCAGTCACAGCACACCAATTGCGGGCCCTGCATAGGGCTCACAAATTCAACCTGGGCCCCAAGACCTAAGCCTTACATTACAAGCACTCCTGTTTCCAAAGAAACCACCTTCCACGTCTCCCAGAGTAGTTTGGGCACTCTTTTTGTAGAAGTCAGTGTCTGTGCTACAGAGAAAACCTCTGCATGGTTACGATGACTATTAAATGTGCATAATTCTCACCAAAAGGTTATGGAATTTTTCCATTGTTGTTGTTTTTCATAAGAGGGAAAGGGAAAGTTGAGAGCCACCTGAATTTCATCCATTAGGAGGGACTGACAGAGATGATCAGATTACATCGGGTTGATGATTGATGTTTGTGACAAGCAGTTCTCGCTCTCTTTACTTCGGAAGGCAGGAATAGGAGGCACGTGATGTGCTCATTTTCTGGCTCAGTGGGGGTCTGAGCACATTGTTAATGGACCAGAGATGGAGCTTTTTTCTCCTGAGAGTCTGAGGATAAACTCAGTTCAGCTTGATAACAGCAGAGCGGCACTGCTAATGGATGTTCAGTGGCTCCCATGAGGGAGTTAGTGGCCTTTGGTAGAACCCTGCTGACCAAATGCGTGGCCTCCCAGAGGTGAAAAAGCCTGGGCCCTAAGGATGCCGTTCTGCAAAATAGCACAGGGGCCCAGGGGAGGGCTCTGTGGGCAACAGTGACCCCATCCCTGGCACAGGATACCATGCCCAGGCTGGACATGGGATTGGACAGAATAAACCCCTCCACCCACATCAGAGGCTCATGGGATCTGCCATTCTCCAGTAAGACTGGGTTAGCCCTGGTCCTTATCCTGGTCCTGGAATGGTAGGATCTAGAAAAGAACACTCGTTTGGAAAGCAGCAGTGGTGCTTTAAAAAAAAAAAAAAAAAAAAAAAAAGCTTTGGCATTGGCCTGGCTAATCACCACTTTGTCATCCTCCTAGACAAGTTAGTGATCTAAGTGCCAGTTTCCATTTCTACAGAAAGGAGCAAATGAGAACACCCACCTCATAGATCTTTTGTGAGAGAACACTGTAATGCTTTTAGGCTGGCACCTGGCATTTAATCAGTGCTCAATAAAAATTAACTGATGACAACACAAGTCATTGTCATCACTGTCCAAGTTCTGCCACTGGGACAAGCTGGCCCATTTCCCTAAATCTCAGTTTATTTAGCTAGACAGTGTGGCTTCAAACTAAACAGTGCCATTTCATATCTCTGGGATCTTCCTATGTCAGCCCCACAACCACAATGAGGCAAGGTTGTGTCTTGTCTTTTGGCAGGTGATGGTGGTGATGGGACTTGTCTAAAGATGGGGGAAGCAGGATTGGAAGTTTGGCTTCAAAGCCTGGATTCTTTCTGTTGTCCAACAACCCCCCAAACTAGTTGGAGGAGTTGCTGTAGAACCCCCAAACTGGGTCCACTCACCCAATACACAGAAAGCCAATCACTGACATCAGGGTAGTGGAAGAAAGTAGATGTTTATGGGCAAACCACAGACCAAGGAGCCAGTCAGCTATTGCTTAATTCCTGGGCTCCTTAAGAAGTTAGGGGTGAAGCTTCTCACAGGTTGAAATTGGGCCTGAGAGGTACATAATCAGCTCGTCCAAGTTCCTGGTTGGTCAGTGTGCTCGGGACCTTCCTTTGATTGGCCAGTGATGCTGAGCTCTTTGGGGAATTTGTGGTGGCCAAGTGGGCTCCTGTTGGTCATGGGGTTACATGAAGGTGACAGTTGCATTCTGCCTGAACCTGGAACTCCCTTAAACAAACCCTTCTGGACAAAAAGACCAGAGGTTCTTTTCTAGGGAGAAGCAAATGACTCCTTGAGTCCAGTGATAAGAAGCTTGTAAGGCTAGCTGGATCACTCCCTCAAGTCAGTGAATTCCTTTTGATAACAGACAGGCAAGAACATCTTGGGCTAAGGGAGACAGACAAGAGGCTGGGTCTTGCTTTCACATAATAGGGGTTCCATTTCATTTCCTTGTCTCAATCCTGCTTTTCTCAGTGGTCTTCTTAAGGATCTTCTATGGTAAAGGGTCTATTAAAGTTAATCAGTGAGATGAGGCTCTGCTGTGCAGGGAACAATGGCTGATCTATAAAAAGAGTCTTGACAGGAGGCAGCATATACAAAAGGGCTGGAAGTAAACATCCTTTCTAAGACTTCCTCTGCATGGCAAGGGACCGTTGAACAACTTTCTCTGCCACTTCTTCCCCGTGCTGTCCACTCTTTCTCACTCCCTACCCCCTTTGACAGGAATGTACTGAGGTCTTTCACAATCCAGGGTGGAGCAGGTCAGAATGCAGATCTATCTAAGACACAGGCTTTGTCCTTAGGGAACTTCAAGCTAGAGGAGGAGACTGAAAATCATCCTTTGCAAGGCTGGGGGAAAAAAAGGAAATGTAAACAGAAAGACAAGCAAAGTCTACTCAAGAGACTAGGATTTCTTTCCCATGGAGGGCCTGGTTCCTCTAGCAGGAGGTTACCTGGGTTGCTTTGATTTGCATTTGACCCTGGGGCCGAGAGGGGAGGGTTTCTCTTGGGAATGTCTCAGTCAAGTTCTCAAGTTGTCTGAATTAAGCTTCCCCTAATCCATGTTTTCAGTGTGTTTGTGAACTTGGACCTCTCCCCCAGAGCTTTGCAAAATATGCGACTGATTTGTATGGCTATCTATTTCAAACAAAAGTAAAAAGTAGTCTAAACTAAAAGACTCTAGGTCTTCCTGAACTTAGACATCATGTCATCAACTGGTGGTTTTTAAATGTGTGTATAAGGATCTCTTGAGATCTTTGGATTCCTGAACCTTCCCCAAGCTCCCCTCCAGCACCCGCTGACAAAGAACATCTAGGGGGAAGGCCAGGGAACCATCTTTTGGCTGCTCATTGGGTTCTCATGAGCCAGGGCGCTCCCTGTTTTGTGAAAAGCTGATTTGTGATTCCTCAACCTTCAATACCACACCCACTGGTAGGAAATATTTATCACATTGTAGCCTAAGAGCCTCTGGTGTTCTCAGAAATATTCGGTGGGGGAGAGGGGAGGCTCATGGGTTCTCGGAGAATATTTTCTTAGTTCTATGTTGAATTTCCATGATAATCTTGAGGGAATGTTCACAAAAATGTGTTTGGGATTTTATAACAAGAAAAGATCTGCCTCAGTGCTATGGAGAAAATAATAAGGATGACACGTGTCAATGACACATTAGAGGCAGTTGGAGGTCGCATGACATGACGTCAAGGCATTGTGAATTGGTGAGAAGAATGAGTCATCAGCACACAACAGGATATGCATGCATGTAGATCTTTATCACATCATGCTGCAAGTGGCCATCAGTGGCAACAAGACACCATTCATTGTCCTAAATTAATGTTGGAAATTTGGATTTGATTATTGCCTTGGTGTGAATCCTGGCTCTAGCTCCTGACTCCAACTTCCTGCTAGTTCGGACCCTGAGAAGCAGCTGTGATACCAGAAATGACTGGGTTCTGGCCACCCACATAGGAAACCTGGATTGAATTCCTAGCTCCCAACTTCAATCCCTGGGCCCAGGCCCAGGGCCATTGTGGAGAGCTGAGAAATGAATCGGTAGATGGGCGCTCTCTTTTTCTCCCTTTGAAATTAAAAATAAAAGACATACGTAGTGATGAGAGCCAGGCTTTTATTCCCCTTTCTGTCCCCCATAACACTAAGGTCCATGCTTCTTAATCTGCCCTGGCCCCTGCCTGTTTCTTCTCTATAGTCATTCTCATCTCAGCAAAATGGAAACCTGTGGCCCAGAGGAGACTTGAGTCAGTGCATAGGTCTTATAGTCAGATTTTGGCCATTCTCATTCTCATCTCAGTGTGCCTTTCACTCTGCAACTAAGTAGCAAACCTTAAGCATGAGGACTCTGAATCTCAGAGCCATGAGGAGACTTGATCTCAAGCCATACAATTGGTGAGTGATATTTCCAAAACCAAAGCTCAGGACCCTGAGTGTTAAATCCGGGTTTCAGTTGACAAACATATGGTCTCAATGCCTTTGTTCCATATTACCTGCCACAGCAGTTCTAATAGTATACTTTCATCTATTGAGTTTTGTGGTAGAATGAAAAATGTGCAAAGACTTCATGATGCTTTTTCACATGGATCCTGTTGCTTAAGGAGCAAGAGAGAAGAATGGGGGCAAATTAGAGCTAACTCAAAGCGACCTTAAAATTCAAACAAGAAAGGCAAAATAGAGCACCATTAGAGATGATGATAGTGATACCAATGATAGCTATTTTGATGTTGGCCTTAATGAGGGGAAAAAAGGATAAGGAAGAGGAAAAAGAGAAAGTTAACACTTAGTGAGGCTAAATATGATGCAGATTTAGTCTAATTCTCCCTGAAGGCATCAAGTTTTTTAACTTAAGCTGTTCTGTTGTTTGCACTGAGTGCTTCTTGTGATTTGCTGTCCTATACCATGCCCTCACTGGATTCCTGCTCTCTGATCTTAAATAGGTTTTTTACATTTTCCTATCCTATTTCCCAGTCTTTCATAAAGAAATAGAGAGCATTCTTATGGCACCTACTTCATAACAGATGTTTTCCTTCTTTGCTTAACTAAATAAGATGATTTTAAGTGACAATGGCAGCTTTAGAGTGACATTCCTCCCATAAGTCTCTGTGTTCCCCATGCCAGAAGTTTAGGCACCGTTGATAAAGGCATTCAATGATGACTGCACACCCCTAGGTGGAGAAGAAGCAGAGGAAGAGGCAAGAGCTCCCCAAATTTCCAAAATAATCGTTTTCCATCAAAATTTACTTTTTTCCAAACAACGTATCTTTTGATTTTCTACTTTGCCAGAATAGAAGGATCACTAACTGAAATGAGAGTTCAGATGGCACAGTGCTGTCACTTGTGCTGTCAGTTTATCAGTTCTGTTTCCCAAGATGGATCAAGTCATTGAGAGACCTTGAAAGGAGATTGTGGAGCCAGTGCCGCAGCTCAATAGGCTAATCCTCCCCCTTGCGGCGCCGGCACACCGGGTTCTAGTCCCGGTCGGGGCGCCGGATTCTGTCCCGGTTGCCCCTCTTCCAGGCCAGCTCTCTGCTATGGCCTGGGAGTACAGTGGAGGATGGCCCAAGTGCTGCATGGGAGACCAGGAGAAGCACCTGGCTCCTGCCTTCGGATCAGCGTGGTGCGCCGGCCACGGCGGCCATTGGAGGGTGAATCAACGGCAAAAGGAAGACCTTTCTCTCTGTCTCTCTCTCTCTCACTGTCCACCCTGCCTGTCAAAAAAAAAAAAAAAAAAAAGGGAGATTGTGGAAAAAAAATAGGGTTAGCATAACGAGGGCCCCACTGCTGACTGGAAATCCAACTACTGTTGTTTTGTATCTTTGTTATTAGCTCTTTAAGGGCAGGGTTAGACATGTAGATAGCATTTGATTATTCAACTGTTTTACTCATTCTTTTATTAATTAGTTAGTTCATTAATACCGGACTTGTGGAGTGGAAAAAGCATTAAACCTCATGTGCCACAAGAGGTTTGAGCCCTACAGCAGAGAATAAGTCATTTAGCTTCTCTGCACACTAGACCTCTTATCGAAAAATGCAGGGGCTTATAGTGGCTATCAAGAGGTAAAGCTTTTACGCTTGTTCTGTTTGGACTACAACTTCAGAGTTGCCTCTGAATCTTTCTCAACACTCCAAGCAACTCTAAGTATATTTCTACAATAACTGAGATTCCAAATTACAGAATAGAAAAATGTGTTTTGTGGGAAACCAGGAAACAATCTATGGATATCAAATGCTGTGGAATTAAATGGAGAAAAGAAAGAAACTTGCATCTGGCCTCTGTGAACCAAAACAATCCCATCACCCTCACACTTCAAATCTCCAGCTCCACAACTGAGCTGGCAGATCTGAGATCCATTTCAGTGGGCTGAGTTTAGTATTCTGTTTGGTGAACTTCAGCAAACGGTAGTAATTCCAGCCAGCCACATGTTCCACAGAGTAAAAATGCATGTTGGCTTGGGGGCCAGAAGACCTATAAATCTGAAGGCTAGAGACGTGAGAAAGTATGACTAGCAAAACTCCCTGAAATGTCTCTTTGTGGCTTCCATGGAACTTCCATTCATCTTCGTCTTCATCATAGATCTTGATTTCTAGAACCCATGACATTGTGTGGAATTATGTTTTATTCATTTCCTGTTTTTTTCAGAACATGGGCTTTTCCCTCTTCCAGCCCCCTGTGTGTTTTCCTTCCTGTCTTCCTGCTTTTCCTGTTTCTGTCTCCTATGCCTTACACAGAGTGGACATGAATTATCTCTCTGTTGGCTGAATCTACCCATTCATTTATAGCAGCCTCAGTGTGGTCCAGGGTGGAGCGAAGGAAAGAACATCAGGTCAGAAGGTCTGGGCCTCATTCTGTGATGAAAACCAAAATCACGTCTCATCTTCAGAATGCCAGGCCTGTGTGGCCTCCCTCCCAGGTGTCTGTGGTAACTAAAGAAGCTCATATAGGTGAAGCTGTCAGATACAATGCAAACACAGAGCTTGCATTGTAGTTTGAACATGCTCCATTGTTAAAACTACACCAGAAAACTGAGACACAGGAGCAAAGGCTGGGAGAACACAGACAACATGGAGAACAGCGATTTTGTTAGGGTCCTGGAGTGACAGGTGTGAATTTTTTCATTTTCCTATTTTTCAAATTTTCAGAATCACGGTTCTCTTACTTATTTAAAGGGAAGCCTTTTAAAAAATGCAGTGTCTTATTATTACTGGCCAGCGCTCTCTGATTTTCTTGGAAAATCCTCCCTTCCTTTCCACCCCCAAGGCCAAGTCCCCAGCTCAGGCCCTCCACCCCACCCCAAACACCCCGTGCCAGCCTGCAGCCCATCCTGCAATCCGAAGCCAACACTGGCTTCCTTCACTTGCATCGCGTTCAAAACCTTCACTGATTCTCTTTCCTTTGCTCTCCTGAGCCAACATGAACTCCTCAGCCTGGCCTTAGATCCCAGGTGGTGTGACCACACGTTCTTTCCAGCCACTCCCGGGTTCTTCAGCTCCAGTTAGCCCATCTTCCACACTGGTGAAGGGGCCACAGCAAAGGAGAGGCCACACACAATCAACCAGCCACATGTGGAGTTTGACCTGTATAATACCCTTACTTACAAACTTTGAGCCAACCTTTTAAAATTGTGATTTCACATAAAAATCCAAATTTCTACTTTCTTCTTCAAAAACAGAAAGATCTGGCAATGTAAGTCTTTCTTTGCCTCAAGGCCACAGTCTAGCAACCAATGACTAGAGTCTGGCGGCAGTCACCCCATTCGGTGGGGCCCAGGGTCCCACCACTCAAAGCAGAGCCTCTGCTGGCCCAAAGGGCACCTTTGCGAAAAGCAGAGAAGGGTGTCTCCTCCTCCGAGCAAAAGCAACCCCACCCAAAGCACAACTTGGCAAGGCAAGCAAAGACTGGATGGATTTCCCTCTCCACTCTCCAACTCGGCCGAGCTCCCTCCTTATGGCCAAATAGCATGACCAGAAGCACTGGCTCTGCCCCCACTCTAATGCAGGTCGGCACCTGGCGCCTCTAGACTCATATCTAACACAGCCAAAATGATGGCCATCTGGCCCCAGTTCTTTTTATCTGTGGTACTCTCAGCTCTGCCACCTGCGCTTTGTTACCTTTGCTCAGCCACAGGATGGCTGCCAGGAGCAAAGAGTTCTACTCGCTGTCTCATCCACCAGAAGATGGAAGCAATGCCTTTCTCAACCCTGGAACGAGATTCTGAGCTCTTCTCTAACTGAATCACTCCTAAGCCAATCCCTTCCGGCTAAGATAATGCTCAGCACTTACTGGCTTAGGCTTAGTAACTTGGATAATTCATTAAAGCAAGACAGCTGGTGATTTAGACCAGTGTTTCTCAATGAAGGTGTTATTAACATTTTGGCCAGCACACTTTGTAGCTGTGCTCTGCTGATTCTTCTCACTGCAGTACATTTAACACATCTGGCCCCACCCATCGTATGCAAGCCATGCATACCAATCTCTGCCATGGCCAAAAATGCCCCATATACTAGTTCAATCCAGACACTCCTACATCTTGGGACCTGGCTAAACTGAACTACCTGTAATACAAGAGAGAGGGATGGTTCTTTAAAAAGCCTGATGAGAGAGTAGGGATGAATTCTGGGATGAGAAGCTACAACCATCCTCTGCATCTTTCTTCTATCTAGGAAAAAAGACAAAAACGAAGGAAAAACTATGAATGCTAAATGTTTAACATGTGGTATTTCCCTTCAGATGTGCTCCTGGTTACTATGGAAACCCCTTACTCGTTGGTAGTACCTGTAAGAAATGTGACTGCAGTGGAAATTCAGATCCCAACTTGATCTTTGAAGACTGTGATGAAGTCACTGGCCAGTGTAGGAATTGCTTGCGTAACACCACGGGATTCAAGTGTGAACGCTGTGCTCCTGGCTACTATGGGGATGCAAGGAGAGCCAAGAACTGTGCAGGTACAGTACTATAAATCCTGGCCAGCAGGGCCCTCTGTCAACTCTGTGTTTAGATAAAGAATGTACCTTTGGGAAGTATTGCAAGTGCCCCCTTGTCATCACTTTTCCAGGACAAGGTACATTCTCAAAAATGTGCATCCCAAACTCACCAGGGACAGAAAGTTTTATCAAGGCTCCCTATTATAATGTAACTCATGGGTAGAATGAGCTAGGATACACACAAATGAATTTTTGTCTTATCATCTTAAATTTTTCCAAGCTATTTAAAAACTTCTAATTGCATTTTCCATGAATTTTCATTCATTCATTCATTTATTCACTCATTCATTGATTTGGAAGGCAGAAACAAAGAAAGAGGACGAGACAGAGAAAGCGAGAGAGCACTTCCATCTCCTGGTTCACTCCCCCCAAATGGCTGTAACAACCAGGTCTGGGCTAGTCTGAAGCCAGGAGCCAGGAACTCCATCCTGGTCTCTCATATGGGTGGCAGTGGCCATCTTCCAATACCTTCCTAGGTACATTAGCAGGAAGCTGGGTTGAAAGCAGAGCAGCCAAGACTCAAGCCTGCAATCTGAAATGAGGCAGCTTAACCCACTGCAGCACAATGCCACCCTCTATCCAATATTAATCAAAGAAACAAATTAAACTTCCAGAGTTATCAATTAGTGACCAGAAGACTGAATGAAATATTTCATGGTTCAAATCATTTTTGTAATTCACACCTTTCAGTTACATTTGGTAAAACTGACTTCAGTGAAATGGATTAGTAAGCCAAAGATACAATTTAATCACTCCTTGCCCCATTTCCTGATGGTATCAAAGTAAATATTTTAGGGGTAATATAAGAAACCTCCCTGGTTAAACTTCAGTTAGACTGAAATGTACACATTTTATCCATGATTTTGCCAATCCATTTGCCACATAGAGGGAAGCTCTTTATAAGTGAAGTTACGTTGCTTTCCTTTGAAGTCAAGGACCAGCAGAGATTATTTCTTATTTTTATGTGGCTTTGAAGGGAGCAAAGGAAGAAAAGAGATATTGCAGTCTTGTGGCCTAACTTCTACAGGAAATCCTCTCGCTGAAAGAGATTCCCCTTGAGAAGGTTTGATAAGCGGAGAGTTTAAAATTGAGAAGGAAACACAGATGATCTGCAGAAGTCACAATGAAAGTGAATGTGCAATGTGCACAGAGCCATAACACCAAGGTGACAGTGGGAAGGAAGGAACACATGCCCAATCAGAGTGACATGGGAGAGAGAGAGAGACAGAGACAGAGAAAGAGGGAGACACAGAGAGAGAGAGATCATCAGAGTTTAGGCAATATCAAAGACAAAAAGATCGATCTAAGTATTTACCAAGCTTACATTTAAACTATGAAGATAGAGATCACCCTTAGAATAGAAACTAATAAAGTAGAATCTTTCTGAATGGTTCAATAAATCTGCATTTTGTGAAACATTAAACAGCTGAAATGTATTAAACGGACATCCTTATTAAAGTTAATTTTTTCTTGATTATTCTGTAAAGAATGTTGAGAGAACATTAATACTTCTATTCCAGTTTGTTGCTACTGTAGATAACTTAAGGAATTTGTGTTCAAGTATTAAAAATTCATTTGCACACTAAACTAAATGGAACATGAACAGTCTGATAAGATGGGGTTTTTGTTTTCTCTAAAAGGCATTAGTATAAATCATCAGTACATGAGTAATGGGCTCTCAGGTCTTTGAAATTCATGTAAATATGTTCCTAATTCTTTCCGTGGCATTCTCCCTGGCCATCCCAATGTTAGCTATAATTTGGAAGCCTGGAGTCTGTCTTGCCAAGGGTCGAGCGTGCGGGAGCCAAGGATTGCTCTTGGGCCGCCTCACTCGCTGCTCTCGGGACTACTCCCCGCTCACACCTGGCAGTGACCCACCCTGGAGCTGGATTCAACTAGAGACTCCCTCCGCAGTGAGAAGGGAGCTTTCCATTTCAAGCTGAGCACCGGGCTCTGTGGCCATTGAGTACCTTGTGACATTTACCAGGACCTATTTGGACTAAAGCAGTCAGAGAGTCAGATGGGAATCCCAGTGAACTAGGAGAGGGATCTTGGAAATTTCAGCTTCAAGTTCTCTCCAGAGTCACCTTCGAAAATCATATTGGCCTGGACTGAGTGGGGCGAGGGACAAAATCTCTATGTCATGGATTCCACACCCTCTTGAGAACTAATCCTCATGGAAGAACTGTAGCCTGCTAACCAGTATTTCTAGAAACCGTGGACATTTTGCCATCTTTGAAGCACTAAGGAACAAATCTCTGGTCTTTTGTTTTTGTTTCCCACAGTGTGCAATTGCGGGGGAGGCCCCTGTGACAGCGTAACCGGAGAATGCTTGGAAGAAGGTTCTGAACTCCCTACAGGCATGGACTGCCCAACCATCAGTAAAAATAACAGTATATGATTGACTAACCCCACTTTCTCTAATGTGCTGCAGGTGTGGGATTACAAAAAGCTATGCAGTATCACTCTCCCTACAGACTGCTTCACCTCCACCGCTGGAATTAACCCTGTGTGCACCACAACCAAATGATCCAAGCACCAAGCTACTTGATGGTGCATTTGATTCCAGCTGGCACAGAGGCAGCTTCCACTTACATAGCTCTGGTTTAGAAAACTGATTCTATCAAGGCTTTATGGTTAGCATCTTTCCTAAAGGCAATGTGAGAAACACAACTCCCAGTGACAGAGCCTCATTTTAGTTCCCTTTCCTAGATTGTCTCTTGAAAACCTCAGATAAAATAATATGCAGACAATGCTTTACAACAGTTGGGGGTGCAGAGATACCAAGAGACTTACATGGCTCTGCCTAAGTCACTCCAACTCTGAAGTGGGTACTTCAATACCCAGTACAAAAATACTCAATCCTTAGAAAATGGAGCTGCTGTCTTTTTCCCTGGATTTCACTGTCACCTCTGTTAATCAAGAGAAATGATACTGGAAACCAAAGTTTTGGTTTAAAGACCAAGACAAAAGTATCTTGATTTCCTAGTTTCTCTGAGAAGAAGAGATTCATCAGTGGTGCAAGATGGGAGGCACAATTGAGGTGAAGTTTACACAGAAATGGAATAGGTGTTCCCCAGGCAATGTCGCTGCAAGGACATCAGGATGCCAGCCTAACCTACACCTCTCCCCCACCAGCCTGATGTGCCAGCCGGGAACTTTTACCCTTGAGAGAGTTTGTAAGCAAGACCATATCAAACTTCAAATAACAAATTAACATATTAACAAGGATTAACACTTTAGTCTTTGGTTATCAGCTTTCTAGTAGGGAGCACAGTCTGAGGGGTGGCCAAGACAGGTCTCAAAGCATGCCACACCATTCCCTTGAGTGCCTAACAGGACTGTGCTAGACCCCAGGGGCTGATGCCAGGGGTTAGAGGAAGCCACGTGTGAAAGGCAAGGAGCAGTGAGAAGCTGGGATCTGCCTCTGCCTTTGCCTCTGCCCTGCCTCTGCCTCTGCCCTGCCATGGTTCAGCATGAACTTGGGGGCACCACTGCGGAAGTGCTCATCCAAACAGAAAGCAGGGTGGTGGGGAGAAGTAGAGCCCTCCCAGGGGCCAAGCCAGGTGCCAGCACCAGAACACAGAGAAGAGCAAATAGGAGAAGAGGGGTGCCCAGCAAATCCCAGCTCCTCTGGAGCACCAGGAAAGAGTCCAATACGCAGGCATTCCCTTCACTAAGGAAAGGTGGGCAGGGCTTCTGCGCTTCCTCTTTCCCGCAGTAGTGAGTGTTTGCTTCAGCCTACTTGCCCCGCCGTAGGTGTTTCATTTTCCTTGGGTTTTAAGCAGGGAGAGTACCCGATGTAGTTTGCCTCATCAGGTTCTGTGCGCCTCTGAGTGTTAGGACTCATTCTGTGGCCCAGGACACAAAAATAGACATGGTGATGCACAAGGAAATTCGCACTGGGGATCTACTTCAAGTGACATGTTTCCACATTGCCTTCGACTCTGCCCCTTTCACCTCCAGGCTGTGATAAGTGCATCTGGGACCTGACAGATGACCTGCGGCTGGCAGCACTCTCCATGGAGGAAAGCAAATCCGGGCTGCTGAGCGTGTCTTCCGGGGCTGCTGCTCATAGGCACGTGAATGAAATGAACTCCACCATCTACCTCCTCAAAGTACGCGGGATGCTGCACCTCCACTGTGCTCCTACTAACAACTCCCTCTGGACCCTCTGAGCCCCACCTGTAACCGAGGTTACCTAGAGAATGAATAAGACTAGTACCTACGTGTGAAATTACTGTTTTTACAGTTACTTCCTTGGTGAAGCTGCACATGAGTTGTTCATTCATGACTAGAAATGGTACCACAAAGCTTTTATTACCTTAGCCTCAATTTGCAAGGTTTTGGGGAGTTTCTCTAAAAGTATCTCTCTCTCTCTTCCCACCTTTCCCTCACTCCCTCCATCCTTCCCCCTTCCGCACTCTTACTTGATCTTTTCTTCTCAAACACACTTCTCTCTCTCTCTCTCTCTCTCTCTCACACACACACACACACACACACTCAAATACACAAACATACACTCATGTCCTCTTCTCCTTATGGGTCCACTGATTAATAAATTCAAAACAGCTAATGGAAAAAAAAAAAAAAAACTAGACTACAAAAGTCCTTTTAGCTCTAAGTTTTAAGCCTTTTATTCTCCTTAAATCATGGACTTGGACTTCTGTCAAAACCAAAGGTTATTTTATAAGCAATCTTAATTAGCTAAAGGACAATAGTTTAATACCAGCACATTATTTTACTGGTCAGTTGGCTTAGTGTAGTGATTAAGAGCATAAGCTTTGAAACCAGATTGCCTGTGCTGAGTTCTCAGCTCTGACACTCGCTGTGTAACCTAGATTCGTTATTTAACCTCTTTACTCTTCAGGTTCTTCATCTGGAAAGGAAGATAATCATGGGTTGCTGGGAGAATTCAATGAGTTGATATATGTCAAACACTTAGAATAGTACCTGGCATGGTCAGTTCTTATCGCACAGCAATTGACCAAATGCACAATGTGCAACTCAAAACTTAAAATCATAAAATTGTGAGCTGGCTGGAATTTTAGCAAATGTCTAATCCGAACTTAGGAATCATTCTTATCCAGGCTTACCTGTTTAGACATAGGAAGGTACTGAGTCTCGGAGGTGGGCACTCAGGTCTCTTGATACCCTTCAAATCGTCTTTCCTCAAAAGCACAATTTCAAAGTGGGTATCAGATAGCTGACAGGAAGTCAGTGCCAAGGTTGAAGGGTTTACCCCAAATTGATTCAAGAATTGCTACATTTAGATCAAACGCCTCAAAAAGATAAAAAAAAAAAAAAATGGAGGAGGGGCAAGTGGAGTAAAGTAAAGCAAATTGCTCTCTTTACACCAAAAAGAGGAAAATGCATTTCTGAACTCCATCTGCATTGATCCTGGTGAGTTGATCCGTCTGTTCAAGGCCAGACCAAATTGGAATGGTAAAGCTCAGTCACTAGCCTACATTGGATCTTTGCACAAATTAGAAAAAGATGCCCCTTCCTCACTGCCAGCCCAGCCCCAGGCCAGAGTCTCTGACCCAGTGAGTAGAGTTGGGACCCTGCCCCTCGTGCCAGCCTGAAGCAGCTTGACAACAGAGGCCCACCCTGCGCTCAGTCCTCTTACACTGAGTATATGGGTATTTTTAAAACCTGTTGTACATGCCGACTAATTATTTTCAAAACACATTTTTCCACAGGCAAGATTGTCAGAGAGAGAAAACCAGTATGTCCTAAGAAAGATACAAATCAACAATGCAGAGAACACAATGAAGAGCCTTATGTCTGACATAGAGGAATTAGCTGAAAAGGTATGTATTCAGTTTCTGGGACAGCCTTCAAAGAGAAGGATTTAGCTGGTGTGGGCTTGGCTAGTCACAAATGACTGAGGCTTAACACAGCTCAGAAAAAATTCAGTGACCCATGTGCCTTAAAATAAAACAAAAACAGACCCGTGGAGAAAGTTAACATACTCAGTCTCCACTCACTTCCCATTTTGATTGGTTTGCTTAAAAAAAAAACACTATGTTTATGGGAAATTTTCTATTTATTTACTTCTGGTTAATATAGTTGATGTAAGTTTCCATTAGGATTGTCATTCAGCTGTTTACCTTAGCATTTTATGACTAAGAGCTATAGAGCACGTAGAAGTATACTCTATTACATAGAATACAAAATTTAACTGTTTGCCAAAACACTTTTGGTGGTCACTTTATGCCATAAACTAAAATAAATTCTAGACAAAGAGTTGAGAACAAATCTCAAATCCACAAGAAAATAAAACTAAATAATTATTATATCTCAAAAGGAAATAACAATACACTTAAATACAATATGAAGAATTACATTTAAAAAGAGACAATAGATTTGACAGGATGAAATTTCAAACAGCTGATAAAGCAGTTAAATAAATAGAAAATTTAAATAGCCTGATAAAAATCACAGAGGGAAATACAACTTGTAAAAACCCTCACAAATGAGCAAAACATCAAAATATGCGCAGATTCAATGTGAGAGACCATTTACTATACTCCCCAAAAGCCTAATGGAAAAGTATCTATCTATCCTCCATACTATTTTTTTTTTTTTTTGACAGGCAGAGTGGACAGTGAGAGAGAGAGACAGAGAGAAAGGTCTTCCTTTTGCCGTTGGTTCACCCTCCAATGGCCGCCACGGCCGGCGCACCGCGCTGATCGGATGGCAGGAGCCAGGAGCCAGGTGCTTTTCCTGGTCTCCCATGGGGTGCAGGGCCCAAGCACCTGGGCCATCCTCCACTGCACTCCCGGGCCACAGCAGAGAGCTGGCCTGGAAGAGGGGCAACCGGGACAGAATCCGGCGCCCTGACCGGGACTAGAACCCGGTGTGCCGGTGCCGCTAGGCGGAGGATTAGCCTAGTGAGCCGCGGCGCCGGCCTATCCTCCATACTATTAAAAAATCATATTTAACATATTGCAATGTTTACCACTTTTTTCCCCTGAGTTTGCTCCCCAGTGCTGACCAGAGTACTCTGGAATTGCTGCATCATTGTTTGACATTAATTTGACAAACTTCTTTTCAAAACCTTTCTCGTTTCCTACAAAAAATTAAGGCTAAAATAACTCTGATATTAGTTCTTTGACTTGACCTCTCCTAAACTTTTAAAAGAGTATGCTTCTAAAAATGTAAATTACTCTCATGGTATCCTTGGAAGGTTCACATCCTTTAAAATGCATATGAAAATTGTGTCCCTAATTCCCTTGCAGTGGTACATTTTCATGGAGCCGGAACATCTAAGTTTCAAAGCAAAGTCCAAAGAAAGAAATCTTCATGCGAACTCATTGTTACTTCATTTTGGTGTCTTGGTGGGAACTTGTCACCAGTGTCTCCATTCTGGAGGGAATGTTTTCACCAAGATTAGCTCTACCCGCAGCTCAGACAGCTTACTCATCCTTTGCTTGTACAGTTTTCCCACTTCTAAACCAAGTTAAATGCAAGCTTTTTGGGGGAGGAAACAATGCAAGCTTGCAAATGACATCCAGTAGAAGAAACTCCTGGGTGATGAGAACAGACCACCAAAGCGGGAACTGGGTATTAAAGGCGCTAGCAATTTTCTCCCAGCTGTTTCCATCAGTTCTTATTGAAAAGAACATTCTGCTGGCCATAACAACAGCTCTGATGGTGCAAGAACCTAAGGAAACATTTCAAAATAAATGCCCACACTGGTTTTAATGACTTCTCAAATATCCTTCAAGCCCTTAGACCAGAGAAGTCTGTGACTGATTCTTAAAAGAATTTAAGGAAAGCTTTACCTTAGAAATCAATAGAGTAGTTAATATTTGCGACTTCAAGTGGAATAAAGGATTTCATTATTTGCTCCCATAGTGATAAAAATCAGAGTCATGTCGCTTTTTGAATTCAACAAATAATATCTCTGTTTGCAAACTAGCATCAAATGAATCTCATGTGACCCAAGTTTCACAAACTACATTGACCTAAAGTCTCTGATTTTGAGCCAACTTTCCTATGCAGCCCCCTTTTAGGAAGTTCCACAGCCCTTTCTGGTTCCCTATTTCCAGAAACCCCCCAGAGGATTCCCATGCATCTGTGTTCACAAACAGCCGGTGCCCAGAAGGGCCTCCCAGATGCCACTGCTGACCATGTCGGTCATGCAATTAACAAGCACCAGGCCAGGATTTCACTCTACTTGTTCCTGGAGCCACCATGTTCAAGGTCATAGTGGAGCTGGGCTGCAAGCAGAAGTAGAGATGGGGGCCCACTTCCAATTTCAGTGATGTCTCACCATCTGGTTCCTGACCATCCACTGCAGAGCTCTGATTCTCAGAACTCAGTCTCCAACCATGGCTCAGCAGGCACTGCAACATCCACTCCACCTCTCCTTCTCCATCTCTGCTCTCCTCCATACTCCATCAGCCATGGCAAGTTTCCTGCATATAAAGAGGTCCTTAGAAAGTAGGTCCCCTCCATGTGTCAAAAGCATATGAACTTCATTACTGGTCCTGCTAAAAAGGCAGGAGGAAAATCAGTATAGATTTCTATTCCAGAAGCATTACTGAACACCTCATATACAACAGTTTTTGTGCTAAATGTTAGGAATACTGAAATGAATATAAGGCTCTTCTCTCAAGGTACTCGCAATCTAGTGGGGAAACATACGTTAAAAAAAAAAAACATGTGGCATAGAATGTAGTAACAGAAGCATGGCACAGGCTAAGGTAACTCTAAGGAAGAACTGGTGAACTCTTTTAGCAGGGGGTACCTTAGGGAAGGCTTCTCAGAGAGGACAATATGGACTTGGGAATTGAGAATGACTGGGAATTTATTAAGTATGTACAAGCAAGGGGAAAGTACTACAAAGGCAGGGAGATGTAAAACAAAATTATGTGTTCTGGGACCAGAAGAACTTTGGCCTTGGCCATGCAGAAGAGTAATCGTAAGGCAAAGAACAGGAGATAATGCTGAAGTTATTGGAGGCCGGGTCATGAGGAATCCTGCCCATCTATGCTGGAGAACACACAAATGTCACCCCATGGGCTTGGAACTCACTGAAGGTGCTGTGTAGAGCACTGAGCTCTCAGAGTTGTGCCCCAGACACATTCCTCTGCCTGTGAATGATAGACTAGCAGGGAAGACTGATGCGGTTAGGGACCTGGGCTAGGAGACTGAGCAAGAGTTCAGACTAAGGAGTCATTGTTTGCTCTCTTGACTTAATTAGAAAAGGATGTGCAGTAGACAGGGATGAACTGAGACTGTGGCAGGAGAGAAGAGAAAAAAAAAAAAAAAAGAGGCCAGCATAGCAAATGGAATAAAAAAAATTCCTGGTGACCAGTTGGAAGAGTAGCAAGGAAGGAAGCAATGTCCTGGGGAAATGGATGACCAGGCCTGAAAATGCAGGATGGTCTACTCTGGATATCTTAAGAGGGAGCTACCCATGGAAACTCCAGAAAACAGGGAGAGATTTGAGTCTACAGCTCAGGGCCAGAAAGGTATTTGGAAGTCATTAACATTTAAGAGGTAGGTAGGCCACAGAAATGACTATCGCTGTAGATTCTGAGGTAGCACGCTGGTGTTCCTACTATTGCTATGTCCAGGACCACTCCATTCCTACTTGCATCCTTGAGTAATCTGCAGTTTCTCCCTTTTTACCCACAAAGTGTCCTGGTTTAAATGCCCTAGATATTGCCCATCATCCTAACTGAATCTGGTTTATTTTTTTCTAATTAGTGATCTAGATAGACTACCCTTTATGCCCTATATTATCAAAAACTCTTGCCACTTTTAAAATCAAATACGTACAAGTATAATTCACCATGAGCAGTGAGTAAATGGTCAATCCATGTGTAATATAAACCACCAGCCAGTTTATAGTTGTGAGTAATCTTTTTTATTTCAGCTTTTCTTTAAGCAGGTACGCCTATTTAACCATGTGATCCTGCCGCTCTTTTCCTTTCATAGCAAAATTACAGAGAAAATAAAATTTCAAACAAGATCTCATTGGAACATGCATTATATTCAGTAATGTTGCAACTTACATACTTAATATACATATTTAATACAAATCTCCCCTTTTTTACCGCTAGTTGGGGCTTTATCATTCTATATGTATATCTTGCAGCGCCCCCTGGCGTTTGTTATAAAGAAGGTACGATCTCCTACAGGTATGACTGCTTCCAGCTGTCTTTTATCACTACAGTCAGGGTTTCCATAGCAAAAGATAAGTTTACTGATACAGAAATAACAGGAGGCTTTTCCCCTCAAAGAATGAAGCTCTGGCAAAAAAAAAATATGATTTCTTGTGCTTTGCGAATCTAACTTCATTTATACTGTATCAAAAATCAACTTGTTAGAATTTTCAAATGTTTTCTATTTGTGATCACATTTTTTTAAAGCAGTGAGGGATGACATCAAGAATAAGATTTCATTTATTTTCTGCACAATCTAATATTCAAATCATCATAATTTTTGTTTCTCTGGAAAGCATTAGAACAAGCCAGAGGACGACGGGAAAGAGCACAGTGACTCAGAAGGCAGTGTCTGTTCATGAAGGGGGTGATGGCCACATTACCCCTGCACAGGGACCTCCAGCACCCCAAAGGCTTGGCTTTGGTCAGAGGGAATTCCTGACTTGCCCGTTAAGAAACCTCTGGGCAGAGCTTGCTGTGATACCATTTCTACATTCCTTTCCTTCGCCATCTTGTAGCACCACATGCTTAGGTTACATCTGAAAAGTGTGAACCTGTCCCAGGTAAAATCATAGCACAATCCCTGGCATAGATCACTGTATGGAAGGAGAGAAGTTTGCAGCTATCTCTTGCCTATCCTAGTGCACTCTGTACCACGGGTCCACCAGCACTCTGTGTGTCATATTTACCCTGCAGTTCATTGAGGCATTGCTGCACTTTGTTAAAGAGCTGAGTCAAAACAGCACCAGACAAGGCAACTGGGCATTTGCTAAATGCTGGACTGAAGAACTCCTTCTCCTCTTAAATATAACCCATGAATCAGTCTTCCTAATCCCAAAAGAAGTATGAATTCCTCATGCTGAAGATACAAGGCAGTGTTCTAGTCTTCAACACTGTGCTTTCAGCTTCCAAGAGAAGAGCTCCACTCCCCTATGCCAAGTCCTTTGGAGCACTTATTTGTACACAAGTGTCATTAGTGTTGAAGGAATGTGCAATGAAGCCCCCAGAACATCACTGGGCCCAGGGAGCATAATCCTTTAAATTTACCTGGTCATTCAGTTTCAGCATTGCTTCGGCCACCTGGGAGCCACTGACTACATGGTTTGTTTCAAGGTCTGCCTACTTTCTCAACAGTTTTCTCTTTGAAGCCTTAAACTCTTCGTTCAGCACAAGATCAAACTGATCAGCAGACGTGGGTAATTCTCTAGTCTGGCATCTTGAGATAGAATAAAAAGTCAAAGGATAAATTACATATGAAAGCTGGTTTGGTTTGGATTGAATTATGATTGATGACATGGGAAGGCATTGGACTTTATAGCATTCTGAGATTCTCAAACTGGCTATCACATCAGCCTTCATGCATAATTCCTGCAACAGTTTGATATGTTATAGATCTTTCATGTGCCAGGAAAATTTATGTTTATGCAATATATTATGCCCTCCCATCCCCACGTGCACAAACACAACATGCCTTTCTCATAAATTTAATCTAGCACGCATTTGGATTATCTGTAGGGAAGTCAAGCCTCACGGAAGGGGCATCTGGTTGAGAAGGAAAGCATGGAGACCGTCGACCACGCGACTAAGCTTGTAAAACAAGCCCACGACATGAGGGACAAAATCCAAGGTAAACATGCCCTCTTCTGCTGCAGCCTGATGCCAAGGAAACGTGCGTGTTCCTAGCAACAATAAAAACAATGACTACTGTTAGCGCTTGCCACGTGCCAGGAACCTGTTAGAGTGTTAGAGGTTTACCCTTATGAAAAGTCTTCATCTCAAGTTCCTCTGAGATTTCTGAGCTCTCATTCCTCCTTACTACTGTTGCTCTTAAAGAATAAATGTATCAGGGCGGCATTTGGTGCAGCATTTAAGATGCAGCTCGTGATGCTTATATCCCGTATCGGAGTGCCTGAGTTTGAGTCCTGCCTCTGTTTCTGGTCCAACTTCCTGTTAATGTGTACCATAGGAGGCAGCAGGTGATGGCTCGAGGACTTGGGTCCCTGCCACTCACATGGGAGGCCCAGATTGAGTTCCATGCTCTGGATTTGGCCTGCCCAGCCCCAGCTGTTTCAGGCACTCGGGGAGTCCAGCAAATGATCCTCTCCCTCTCCCTCTCCCTCTCCCTCTCCCTCTCCCTCTCCCTCTCCCTCTCCCTCTCCCTCTCCCTCTCCCTCTCCCTCTCCCTCTCCCTCTCCCTCTCCCTCTCCCTCTCCCTCTCCCTCTCCCTCTCCCTCTCCCTCTCCCTCTCCCTCTCCCTCTCCCTCCTTTCTCTTTCAAATCAAAAATGAAAACTGTCTTTTAAAAGATCACTTAGAACAAATATCGCTTCTCGGCCTTTTGGCTAAGATCAAGTGTAAAAATCACTTAGAACAAAAAGACTAGATTTCCAAAATTTTCTCTTTTCACACATTTCACAGAAGTATAATGCCAGAACACCTATCGGGCAGAGGAAATGTCATGCTATGGTGTCCCTAAAATGCAAGAACTCAATAGAAGTCACACATTTTTCCTATAGGGCAATATAGAATGGCAATAAACTGATCAAACTCATCCTAAATTTCTCCTTGATGCTGTCTCCCAGGCATCAGGGTGACAACTTGCTCAGGTCCTCATCCCAGAAGAAAAGGGAGGCAGATTCTGGATGAGAGTAACTTCTGATAAGTACAGGCTGCAAATTGAACACTATCTAAATAGTGTACTGAAAGCCAGCCTTCCATTTACCAACAGAAAACAAGAGATTTCATTTGCTCTAGAATAAAGAGAATTTCTTTCACTTAGAGTCTGCTAAGACCCAGTATTTGTGTGTTTCCATAGTCCTTATTATACTGTATATTAAGGACTGGATGACAATACCAAGTCTGCCTCAGGGTGCAATGATAGTAAAGAGACCCACAGTAAGGGATTCCCCTTTCTTGAGGTATTGAGAATATTCCAAGAAAGGGGATCCATAGGACCAAAATTAGTCATTTGCCTCATTTCTTGTGTTGCCTATAATACACAGTAAACACAAATGACAAGGATTTCAAACGTTCCCTACTCCTATCCTTACTTTCACCTGTTTTTGCATTTACCTACAAAGTATTCTTTTCCTTTACCATTTTAGAGTTTTTATTTATGTATTCAAAAAGTAAGATTGATCCTAGACAATCGGATGACTTCATCCAATTAAGAAATACATGCCCCTTTAGTCGCCAAATAAAACTAAAAACCTGGCAAGTCATTCAAAGGAAACTAACTCTTCACCTTTGCTGTGCTAACCCAAATTTTGTCTCCAAGGTGTTTCATTTGGGAAGAATATGAACCCTTTTAGTTGACATTTTAGGCATAGAAAAAGATTTAAAAAAGTGTAAATAGGGAATAATAACTTCCACCAGTTTTTACCTTTTTAAAATAATGTATCAGTAGTCTCCAAAAGCCCATGGAAAAGTATTATTGTCTATATGAGAAATTTCCTTTTTTGTAATCTATTCCAGACATGAATAAAAACAGGTCAAAATTATAAACATAATATTTACCCCTAAATGCCAAATAATTCAGCATTGTAAGTGCTGGAGCTAAGGGGAAAATATCAAATTTAATTTCAGAGGTTAGTGTTTTAGACTTGACATGAAGACAGATTGTTTAATTTGTTCACAGTTTTTAAAGAATACCTTGATTTCCCTATAACCTTCCCAGTAATATTATGTCATTTAAGACTTCTCAGTTCATTTCTTTTCCTTCCTTGAGAATCCAGGAATGCGACACAACACCAATACCATATCATTCCTCATTCCCAACTACCTCTCAAATAGCTCCTGGTGACTTTCAAGCTATTATTCACATAAAATACAACCCTTTATCTTGGTGTGATTTATGTCACACCAGTGTTTGTTTACCCATCTTGTCTGGTCAACCACATAGATCACGGTAAACCACAGGCATACAATTTCATTTATGCCAAGAAGATAAAACACCTCCTCTTGGAGCTGCTATAAGACAGGGTGGCAATTACATACCTTTCTGCAGATCATATGGAGAAGGAATGAGTGAGTCAGAACTGGGCCAGGGGCTGGCGCTGTGGCACAGCAGGTTAATGCCCTGGTCTGAAGCGCCAGCATCCCATATGGGCACTGGTTCGAGACCCAGCTGCTCCACTTCCGATCCAGCTCTCTGCTGTGGCCTGGGAAAGCAGTACAAGATGGCCCAAGTCCTTGGGCCCTTGCACCCATGTGGGAGACCTGGGAGAAGCTCCTGGCTCCTGGCTTCGGATCAGCACAGCTCCAGCCATTGTGGCCATCTGGGGAGTGAACCATAAGATGGAAGACCTCTCTCTCTCTCTCTCTCTTTTTCTCTCTTTCTCTCTCTTTCTCTCTCTCTCTCCTCTCTCTGTGTAACTCTGACTTTCAAATAAATTAATTAAAAAAAAAAAAGAACTGGGCCAGTTCTGCTAGTGTTAGACAAGCCATCTAATCCTTCTGAGCCTTCACACTCCCTCCAGTTCTAAAATTCTCCATCCTACTTATGGAAGTGAGGTGAAAATAGCCCACTCTTGACTAGCATACTGCAGAAGGCAAATAGCAATGGCCAAAGCCAAATACAAATGAGTAATAACTCACATCAGACCATAACAAACACCTCTTTTAGATGGAGGTTTTTTTGTTGTTGTTGTTGTTTTTTTTTTTTTTTTTTTTTTTTGACAGGCAGAGTGGACAGGGGGAGAGAGAGAGAGAGAGAGAGAGAGAGAGAAAGGTCTTCCTTTTGCCATTGGTTCACCCCCCAATGGCCACCACGGCTGGCACGCTGCGGCCGGCGCATCACCATCACACTGATCCGAAGCCAAGAGCCAGGTGCTTCTCCCAGTCTCTCATGCGGGTGCAGGGCCCAAGGACTTGGGCAATCCTCCACTGCACTCCCGGGCCATAGCAGAGAGCTGGCCTGGAAGAGCGGCAACCGGGACAGAAGCCGGCGCCCCAACCGGGACTAGAACCCGGTGTGCTGGCGCCACAAGGCGGAAAACTAGCCTATTGAGCCACGGTACCGGCCTAGATGGAGTCTTTAAAAACAATGTGAAAGTCTCATTTGGACTATCTACTCTCACTTTGAAGTAGAGCTCCCTTGGTTTTTTTCCTTGGAGTATGTAATGACCTTGATGCTGATATCTGCATGTGATGCAGACACCACCAGTAAGCTGTCTTTGAAAGGGCCTCTCTTTCCATTTCAGGATCAGCCCAACCTGTGCCCTCCAGCCCTCACTCTTTTGTGTTCAGTGAGATCATTTCCCCCTACTGTCTTACTTCACTGCGCTCTTCCTTCCAGAGATCAACAGCAAGATGCTGTATTATGGAGAAGAGCAGGAACTTGGCCCTGAGGAAATCTCTGAGAAGCTGGTGTTGGCCCAGAAGATGCTGGATGAGATCAGACGCCGCCAGCCATTCTTCACCCAGCAGGACCTTGTGAATGAGGAAGTGGACGAGGCCCACGAACGTAAGTGTCTCAACTCACTTCCAACCCAGCACGTGTCTGCTTTCTTTGTGGTTCCAGAGGGGACACAAAGCTGCAGGACAAAGCAATCCATTCTCAATATTCAAGGCTGCTTGGAATGTATGCATGGCTCTGTGGAGTCATCCAGGACAACTCAACTCTGTGGCCAAAAATATTAGATCCATGACCAACTCTGAATCCCTGAGAAGCAGCTGGGATCCCAGAAGGAATCTGTAGAACTTTTTCTCCCATGGGGAGGAGGCAGGGACTTAGCAGTGGATGACAATGTGTAAAACAGGGAAAGACTAAGGGGAGCCAATTCCCAGACTTCAGTAAGTGAAATTTCATTGAGAAAGCAGAAATGCTAGAATATTCCTGTTCTGAGGGGCATGATTGGCTTTTAATAACTTTTAACGCCGTGGCTCACTTGGTTAATCCTCCACCTGCGTCTCTGGCATCCCATATGGGTGCCGGGTTCTAGTCCCGGTTGCTCCTCTTCCAGTCCAGCTCTCTGCTGTGGCCCAGGAGGGCAGTGGAGGATGGCCCAAGTACTTGGGCCCCTGCACCCACATGGGAGACCAGGAGGAAGCACCTGGCTCCTGGCTTCAGATTGGTGTAGCTCCAGCCGTAGCAGCCATTTGCAGGGTGAACCAATGGAAGGAAGACCTTTCTCTCTGTCTCTCTCTCACTGTCTAACTCTGTCAAATAAATAAAAAAAAAAAACTTTTAACTCAATAGAAATTTAATATTTCTTCTAATGAAATCACAGTGAGATGCTTGAATGTATGACCTGGCCACTGTATCATTTATCAGTTACTACTTAAAAATCTACTCTAAACATACTTATTTAAAACAATAGCCACTTATTCACTCATGATTTCATGAGTTACCAATTCTGGCTGAATTCAACCTGAACAGCCCACCTCTGCTCCATGCACATGGGCTGAGCCTACTGAGGCTAGCTGGGAAGGCTAGGCCTCTCCCTCCATGCAGGGTCTTCCTTTTAAGGAGGCTAGCACAGACTTGTTCACATGGTGGTGGCCTTTCAAGAGGGCAGGAATGGAGAGGGCAAGGTGTCTGGAGGTGTAGACTTGGAACTCAACAGCTTTGCATCCATTCTATTGGTCAAGACCAGCCTAGATTCAGGGAGTAGGGGAGATAACTCTGTTCTTGATGGGAAAAATTCCAAAGAAGTTGTGTTCATTGTAATGTATATAATAAAGAGAGGAAGTTACAGCTTTGCGTGAAATATTTTAACTGTTGCTGACATCTTACAGCACTGTTTAAATTCAGCAATAACTCAAAATTATGGCAGTCATTAGATCCACCTCTGGATCTTGTTATTGAATGCATTAATAAAGAATTACATATATTATATTACCAATTTGATTTTAAAATATATTGGTCTCTTTTCTAAATGTATTTTCTTTTCCTGTGTATTTTATTTATCCATTTTTAAATTATCAGAAGGAATCTGAAGATTTCTGTAGATTGTAAAAGGATCACTAGCATGAAAACACCTAAAAGCCACTAGTTTGTTTTCTGATAATTTTCACTATCAGCTTCTGCTAACGATTATTGTGAATATCCAGGGAAGAAGACCATTCTTTTTTTTAACTTTTATTTAATAAATACAAAATTTCCAATGTACGGCTTTTGGATTACAATGGCCTTTTTCCCCCATAACTTCCCTCCCACCCACAACCATCCCATCTCCCACTCCCTCTCCCATCCCATTCACATCAAGATTCATTTTCAATTATCTTTATATACAGAAGATCAATTTAGTGTATACTAAGTAAAGATTTCAATAGTTTGCACCCACATAGAAACACAAAGTGTAAAGTACTGTTTGAGTACTAGTTATAGCATTAATTCACAAAATACAACACATTAAGGACAGAGATTCTACATGGGGAGTAAGTACACAGTGACTCCTGTTGTTGATTTAACAATTTACACTCTTATTTATGGCATCAGTAATCACCCGAGGCTCTTGTCATGAGTTGCTAAGGCTATGGAAGCCTTTTGAGTTCCCCCACTCACAATCTTATTTAGACAAGGTCATAGTCAAAGTGGAAGTTCCCTCCTCTCTTCAGAGAAAGGTACCTCCTTCTTTGATGGCCCGTTCTTTCCGCTGGGATCTCACTCACAGAGATCTTTCATTTAGGTCTTTTTTTTTTTTCCAGAGTGAGAAGACCATTCTTGACATAAAGGTTTATTGTGGTAGCAAATGTGTAATGTCTTAGAAACAGTAAGAACCAAAAGTCTCAGTTCTGAGTCACGATGAGGTCCATAGTAAGGAAAGCTGGTGCTCTAACAAATAGCCAGATGCTTCCAGGCTCTTTGCCTACTTTGGAGTCTGGTAAGATTGCTCTGAGAGAATGGAACCAATCACATCTCCCACTGAGCCTCCTTCCAGCAATGAACACATCTTTAGCCATTTTGTTTATATAACCGTTAACTTGTGTCTTCTGCTCACTGCAATGAAAAAAAATACAAAACCTCAACTAGACAGACTGATATTCTCTGGAGAAAAACAGAATTAAGATACACAGACAGCCCAGGTACCTTTGAGAAGAGAATAAAGTTTAAGAATATCATATCATTGCATTTAATCTTTATTTCATCCAAAATCATGGTTAGGATTTAACCTAGAAGAGTTAACTAGACACAGTTGTTTGGAGAGAATACAGTGAGTGGCCATGAACATCATTTTACCTTAATACTAACAAGATAATTTGGGGAAGTTTTCATAGTAAAAATGACAAAATATCCAAATCCATTTTAAATGGTAAAATTAATAATCTCGGTAAAAATAAACATAGTATAATGACATGTTTTCCACATAAAACAGAATCTGTATGGTAAAACCAAATCCTTCTTTTAATTGACTGTTGTCCTAGCCCCTATAAAACAGGGTTTTTTTACTTCAAATATAAAATGTGGGGCTAGGGGAGAACATTTGGCCTAGTTGTTGAGATTCCGCTCAGGGCACCTGTCTCCACATCAGAATACCTAGGTTCAATATCTGGCTCCAGCTCCCGACTTCAGCTTCCTACTAATGCAGACTCTGGGAGGCAGTAGTGATGGCTCATGTACTTGAGTTCTGCCACTTACGTGCGAGACCTCAATTGAGTTCCCTGTTCCTGACCCCTGGCTTCAGCTCCAGCCCAGATCTGATCATTGCAGACATTTGGGAAGGGAACCAGTGAATGGAGGCTCTCTTTGTCTCTGTCTCAGAAAAAAAGAAAAAAATTTCTTTAAAAAGAAACACTACCCAAGAAAGCCAGACTATCTCTGTGAACAATAGCTTCGACATCAGTTGCTGCAGAAGGCATAACCTGACAGTGTTGTGCTTTGCTAACTGCTAGAAGGAAGTGAAGAGACAGAAGCAGCCCAGACTGAGTTTCTATTTCCATTTCTTCACAGTGTTGAGCCAGGCTGAGAGCTGGCAGCGGCTGCACAATGACACCCGCTCCCTGTTTCCTGTCGTCTTGGAGCAGCTGGATGACTACAATGCTAAGTTGTCAGAACTCCAGGAATCACTGGACCAGGCCCTGGACCATGTCAGGGATGCCGAAGACATGAACAGGGCCACAGCAGCCAGGCAGCGGGACCAGGAGGTAGAGTGACCCTAACTAAATGCATTTTAGGAAAAGA